TCATTTTAAAGGTAGTATCACTTCAGATTATTTAACTACAGGGTGACCCAAATACTTATATTACTGAGTTGTATAATATTTATGTGTTCCCTTTTACATATCACCATGGACTGTACACTTCCAGAGGCTTAAATTTTTTTTCAAATCAAAACTCAAACATACATCAACATAAATGTTTCAGAAATAAAATGGAACAAGAAATTATATGTACATTTCTTCCCTTTCTCTCCTTTCTGATTATCGCTTTCAAAATGCTTGAAATAGTGGCCTTAGTATAGATACGTGACTTAACTAGAGCCATTTGTGGATTTCACTCTTCTATGCTCTTTCTGAAAATGTGAAAGAAGACACAAATTGCCTCTTCAAAAAAGCAAACAACACATGAAATAAACATAAGGAGGCTATTTAATAAGTCAATTAAGATTTGACTTGTTTATATTTGATTTATACTTTTTCTCCTATGGACAAATATTTATCATTACTTATTATGGAAAATTTTGTTAAAAGGGTAGCTAATTATGATATGCCATTACATCATTGACCTGGGTCTTATTGTGATAACTTCTTTTAATCAAATTATCTTGCAGCTTTTGTTCAGTTTGCTTATAGAGATATTTTCCCTTTACCTCTGTTGCTACTAAAATATCTACATAATCTGATTTTATTTATTGTATCTTACTTAGTTATACTATAATTGGTTTAGGATGCCATGTATGTGCCCAGAGAGTCCCTCATAAAAACTACTACAGGTTGAGTATCCCTTATCCAAAATGCATAAGGCCAGAAGTGTTTCAAAGTTTTTTTCTTAATTTTGGAATATTTGAATGTACATAATGATATATCTGAGGGATGAGACCCAAGTCTAAACATAAAATTCATTTATGTTTCATGAACATGTTATACACATAGACAAGGTGATTTTATATATATTTAATAATTTTGTGCATGAAACAAAGTTTTGATTGCATTTTATTTACAACCTGTCACATGAGGTCAGATGTGGAATTTTCCATTTGCAGCAGGATATGGTGCTAAACATGTTTTGGGTTTTGGAGCAGTTCAGATTTTCAGATTAGGGATACTCAATCTGTACTACCTCTGTTCAATATTCATTCACACGTCAAAACACATTTAGAACTTTCCAAAGAAAGATTTTTATTTCAAGTTCAGTGTTTATCCACTTCTCTTCTAACATAGGCTTCAGCTTGGATGTATAGGTTCTTAAGTACAATTTTTTTTTAAATTTTCACAAACCTAATTGCACCTAAAAATATGTTCTCTAGAAAATTTGCTTAAATTCTCTACAAACATCTCATATCACTCTTCTGCCCCCAAAACCTTCAGTGACACTAAGTGTCTATAAATTTCTTATTCTGACTTTCAAAGCCCTCCATGATCTGGTTCCTTTGCCTTTACTTCTAAGGTCTATGTTTCAGCCAAGAAATTGTTCTCTAAATATAGTCCCCTACTTTACACAACTATATCCTCACTTAAGTTGTTCTTATATATGAAATACACCATCCCCCTTGCGCACCAATCTAGACATGCTGAAGTTATACTAATTTTCTAGAACTTCCTCAATTGTAATTTTGTGATGAAATCTCTCATAGCCCCAGGTTGAATTTATTTCTTAGACCTCAAAACTCATCTAGTAAACTCCTTATAGCTCTTAAGAAAGACTATTTAATTCTTGCTGATAATCATAGTTTTTATTCCCTACCTGAATAAGGTGAGAGTAGTGATTATATTCTAACCATCCTTTATACTTCTCCCAATGCCACTATGTAATAAGTAGTGAGCAAAATGCAAGTCAGTAACTTCGCCACATATATAATTAATCCCATAAAAATTATGCTCCATACTAATAGATGACCTTTCTTCCCAAAACTTTTCCAAATAGTTACTTACTCACTAACACTCCAAAATTAGGTAGAAAATATTCTTATGTTTATTGTACAAATTGTACAGTGTATAAAGATAGTATTTATTGTGTAATATTTATCTATAAAACAAATAAAGAAACTGAGGCTGAAATAGCTCCAAAAAACTTGCCCCAGTTAGCACAGCTAATGAATGAATTCCCCGAATTTAGAAACCATCTTCTGACATCTTCCTTACATCAGCTGTCTCCCTTAATTAATGTTAGTTTGATAGTGAAGTTTTCTCAGTTTAAACAGCTTTACATTTTTTGGTTTGGCAAATTATTTGATGATTACCCTTATTGTATATTTTACATTTTAATGTTCCATCATAAGAATAGAGTATCCAAAATGTAACAGAGGACAAAAATAGGTTTTATTTTGATTTTCAAGGTCTTTCTCTGAAATAATCCTGGAATTCAGGGTATAGCCTAAGTTTTTAAGGTCCTGTTTAAAATAACTAAAGGAGAGTAGTAGCTCTCGAGCTTCTGCTTTCCCTTCTTTCTCCACTGCACTGAGTTTCTCAAAAGCAATCTCACTAAGATAAATATTCTTATTTCAAACTAATAACTAAGAAATGTGGAGCATTTGGACTTCTCCTGTTTAACTCTGAAAAGCAAACAGTTGGAAACAAAATCCATTTTTGTGAATAATGAATTTCCTAGGGACACTAATTTTCCAGCTCCGATGTAGGGTGTTCTAAGTTATGGCCAATTATCTCAAGTGTTATAGTAAAATTCTCTCAAAAAGAAAACAGATTTTAATCCACTCTGATCTTAAAATTGGTAATGCCATATGTACTTTATAAAAAGCAAGGAGGAGGAGGACAGGAGGTGGGAGAGGGAGATCTGTTACAACTTTCCCAAAGACTTGAAGCAGTGTAGGAAAAAAAGTCCCTGATTTTGTACTAGGCCTGGCCCTACATAATTATAAACAAAATCCTTTTAAACCAGAGCTCTACCTAAGGAAAGTTACCAATGAAGTATAATAATTATATATTTATCAGGTCTAACCCACAGGAATAAATGACTCATTAATATGCTAAAATATTTTATCAGAAAAAGTAAGCTTTTTTCTGAAAATTGAAGGGCTTGGATGATGGAAGTATTAAATAAAAATTCAATGTTTTACTGAGTTTAAAGACCTGTCACTACACTCTATAAATATGTCATGCACTCTATAAGCAAACTCTTTTGAGTTTATAGAAGCTTAAATTACCTAATCAGAGCTGTTTTTCACACAGTCACTTTTGGGTGGGCCTTTTTTTTTAGACATCCAAAAATTTTTTTGACAGTAAGTACTTTAAAAAGACCAATATCTAGCTTCCTTTTATAAAAACTAGTTGAAGCTAACCATCTAATGACATTACTCAACTTGAAAATCAGAAAATATAATGAGGCAAGCTATAAGTATGGCAAAGTATAGTGAATTAGAGCATGAATTCTGGAGTCAGGCTTCCTTAGCTGGAATTCTAACACTTTAATATTAGCTGTGTGATATTCATCTAGTTACTTAAGGTATCTTTGTATAACTTTACTCATGTGAATAATGGGGTAGTAATAGTATCTTCCTTATGGGGTTGTATTGAATGTTAAATAAGATGATCTACAATGTGTTTGGTATAGAAGCTCTGAATAGGTGTTAGTTATCATCATCATCATCAAAGGAAAACAAAACTGAGGAATTTAAAGGCTTTGGCATTGTTTAGTCTGTACACACACACACACACACACACACACACACATTGGGAGTGATTTCCGACACAGACTATCAGAAATATATCTGATTCATACTCACTCATTTCCAGATCCCATTAATTTCTCACAAGAGAAGATTAATCCTAGAGAGATGAAATCAGTTGTCTAGTACCACACAGCTGGCTAAGAATAAAGCCTGCAGTAAAACTAATGGGTTTTCATTCTCAAGTCTAAAACTATTTGCACTGTATCGTAATCGCTGCCCCTACCACATCCCCAACTTTAATTACTTGGTTATCCATAATGTGGGGCCATGGCATAAGGAGCATAAGAACAAAAAGTGTAACTATTTATTGAATTTAATTATTTCAATATGAATGTTAAGCTAAACCATATACAGATATATGATACTGAAAATTAAAAATTGACTAGTATAGATTAATAAAAGGAAGGTTCAGATTCTTATTCTTGTGGTACATTTAAAACTAGGAGGTCCTCTTCATTCATTCAAAAACACTGAGATTAATTCCTATGGAACAGGCAATGGCTATTTGTGGGATGACTTGCTGCAATCTTATATACAGCTTGATGTCACTGAAAGTGCCTTTCATTGTCAAGATTTTGTTCATTTGGGGGGAATTTACTCATACCATCACCTAAATCTGTAGGTAATTCCCTTGTTCTAAAGAAAATAATATTTCACCTTTATGGGAAAATATCCTTGGGGTTGTCTCGATTGATTGTAGATTATAGCGAGGTATAGGAAGCTTGAATAATGCCATCAACTTTTTGTACACTAATAAAGCTATGCAGTTTTATTGATTTGGAAAAAAATATAAAAAATGATTATTTTTATCTGACCATTATTAAAAATTAAATTTTTTCATTTTTATGGATCATTTTTTAACAGCAGAGCCTACTCTTTAAAATTAAACTAAAAGCAAATTAGAAAAAGCATAATTAAGAGTCAGCTTGAAGTAATGTAAGGGCAAAAAATCTTAAGTGAGTTTTTAAAAGTAGTTTTCTATATTGGTTTGAGAATTTCTACATTTAATATTTTTGTTTGATAAAATTTTGTGTTTGTTAATAAAAAATATATAGTAACCTTTGGATGCATGTTAGCAGAATTCTCAAAGGATAAATAAAAATTATGCAAACTAACAGTACAAGGAGAATGTATTGCTGTGGAAGTATACTTTTTTCATTAGGTTACTTGCAAAGCTGGCAAAGTAATTTAACTCCTTGGAAAGACAGATACCATCTAAGAAAGAACTAAGTAATGCTCTTATTTCAAACTAATCAGGTTGTCATAAAAATAAAGTAAATAATACCTCAAGAACTTAAGACTTTCAATTTCTGAACTCTATTTTGTTTCTCTTAACAGGAACTCCATTCTCCAACTCCAGAAATATCTTCTTGCGTACCAAGCACTCTACATATAACCCATAATACAGAACAGGTAAAAGTTATAAGTTAGATTACGTTTTCTATTCTTCATTTTATGCAAATCTTGTTTAGATATGTAAGCAATCTGTAGGCCTGCATAAGACTTACACATTCACACAACGTCAAGACTATAAAATAAGAAAGGAGGATTGATTCTCTAATATGAGAATCAGCTTGACCCATTAAAGAAATGTGAAGCAAGTGCTGTGAATCAGATTATTGTTTCATTGCCTACTCATCTAATTGCTTTTAATTTGAGTGTAATTTAGGTTTACTTAGATATTGAATTGATTAAAGTATTTACTTTGTAAGTGATAGTACTATAAGTTTATTTATTTATTTATTTATTTTGAGACAGATTTTCACTATGTTGCCCTTGGTAGAGTGCTATGGCATCACAGCTCACAGCAACCTCAAACTCTTGGGCTTAAGAGAGTCTCTTGCCTCAGCCTCCTAAGTAGCTGGGATTACAGGTGCCCACAATACTGCCTGGCTATTTTTTGGTTGCATTGTTGTTCAGCAGGCCCTGGCTAGAGTCAAACCTGCCAGCATTGATGTACATGGCTGGCATCCTACTCACTGGCTACAGGCGCCAAGCCATACTATAAGTTTATATTCAGAGATAATAATTTATAGTATCAGAATTTGCCCTCACAAATGTGTGAATGAACTGAAAAACACAAAAAAGTCTATATCTCCCTTAGCCTTTAAGGACAGATAATCTCATTTTTAGGATTATTCCCAAATTTAGCTGGTGTGTATCCAAAAAGTTTCTATAATAATAATTAAATACTATATTATAAGTATGAGTTTGTTGCCATATATCAAAAGTAAATGCCAAGAAAACAATACTTAAAACACAAATTTGGGAAATATGGGATATAGAAGATAGGAGAGAGAGATACTGTTTTAAGACAACAGTCTGAGTTTGAACAGTGAAGAGAAAAATGGGCAAAATGTGGTCTCTAGACCTTGATTACAACAAAGAAAATGTGATATAATGAAGAACAAATAAGAAGATTATCAAAGAAAAGTTTCCTTATCACTTCTCAATTTGGCCTGGACCAGAGGGACAATTAGTAATGAACTTAATCACCTAACACTTGCTAAGTGCCAATTATGTACCAAGTATTACACAAAAGTAAATTAGATCTGATCACCATTTTCAAGGAACTCACAAACTAGTATGGGTCAAATATATTAACAAACCATGAAACAATGGGATAAAGGCTATGATTGATTTAGAAATACATTACATTAGATGTGTTTCTATTTTTTGTGTAATCTTGTCATATATGTAACTAATCTTTATTTTTTATTAGATAATAACTTTGTGCATTGATGCATTTATGGGGTTCAGGTACTGCTTTGATATACAATGTGAAATGCTTACATTGAACTAAGTAACACATCCATCACAATTATACCCATTTCCTAATAGTTTTGAAATGTACCACTGAATCATGCACATTAGGTAAGGTTCCCCCAAATACCCTCCCTTCTCCCATATCCTCCCCTACCCTCTCTCTCCTCTTCCCTTCTGCTTTTTGGACTATAGTTATGTTTTGCCATTCATATTAGTGTGTAAGTGATTATATATTGAATGCACAGTAGTATTGAGTACATTGCATACTTTTTTTTTCCATTCTTGAGATACTTTACTAAGAAGAATATGTTCCAGCTCCATCCAGGTAAACATAAAAGATGTGAAGTCTCCATCCTTTTTTATGCCTGCGTAGTATTTCATGGTGTACATATATCACTATTTGTTAATCCATTCATGGGTCGATGGGCACTTGGGCTGTTTCCATGTCTTAGCTATTATGAATTGGGCTACAATAAACATTCTTGTTCAAATGTCTTTGTTGTAAAATAATTTTTAATCATCTGGGTATGTACCTGTAGAGGAATTGAAGGATTAAATGGTAGGTCTACTTTTAGTTCCTTGAGTGTTCTCCAAACTTCATTCCAAAAAGGTCATATTAGCTTGCATTCCCACCAGCAGTGTAGAAGCATTCCCTTCTCTCTGCATAGACCAACATCTTTAGTTTTGGGATTTTGTAATGAGGGCTAATCTTATTGGAGTTAGATGATATCTCAAAGTGGTTTTGATTGGTATTTCACTGATGACTAAGGATGATGAGCATTTTCTCATGTGTTTGTAGGCCATGAACCTGTCTTCAACAGAGAAGATTCTGTTCAAGTCTCTTGCCTACATAGAAATGAGGTTATTTGTTTTTTCTTATTGATTAGTTGGAACTCTCTGTAGATTCTAGTTATCAGACCTTTGTCAGAAGCATAACCTGCAAAAATCTTCTCCCATTCTGAAGGTTGTCTGTTTGCTTTACTTACTGTGCTCTTGGCTGTGCGAAAGATTTTTATATTTTTATATTGCTTCAATTGCTTGAATTGCCCAGGGGGTCTTCCTCATAAAATATTCTCCCAGGCCAATTTCTTGAAGTGTTTTCCCTGCACTTTCTTCTATATAGAATTTTTATAGTTTTATGTCTTAAATTTAAATCTTTTATCCAGTGAGAATCAATTTTTGTTAATTGTGAAAAGTAGGGGTCCAGTGTCAGTCTTCTACAGGTTGCTATCCAGTTCACCCAGCACCATTTGTTAAATAGGGAGTCTTTTCCCCCACTGAATATTTTTGATAGGCTTGTCGAAAATCAAATGATGATAAGTAGGTGGGTTCATCTCTTGGTTCTCTGTTCTGTTCCATAAATCTGCCACTCTGTTTTTGTGCCAGTACCATGCTGTTTTGATTACTATAGATTTATAATATAGCCTGAAGTCTAGCAACATGATACCTCCTGATTTGTTTATATTTCTGAGTGATGTATTTGCTATTCGAGGTTTTTTTCTAATTCCACATAAAATGAAGTACTATTTTCTCAAGTTCTGTAGAGTGTGACAATGGTGCTTTAATAGGGATTGCATTAAATTTGCAGATTGCTTTGTGTACTATGGACATTTTAACAATGATGATTCTTCCCCCCTATGAGCATGGTATGTTTTTCCATTTGTTAACATCAGCTATTTCTTTTCTCAGAGTTTCGTAGTTCTCCTTATAGAAATCTTTCACATTTTTTGTTAGGTAATTTCCCAGATATTTCATCTTCTTTGGCATTATTGTAAAAGGAATAAAGTCTTTGATTGTTTTTTTCAGATTGACTATTGTTGGCATATATAAAAGTTACTAACTTGTAAGTATTGATTTTGTATCCTGAGATGCTCCTGTATTTCTTGATCATTTTAAGAGTTTTGAAGTTGAGTCCCTGGGATTTTCCAGGTATAGGATCATATCATCAGTAAAAAGTGAGAGTTTTATGTCCTCTGACCCTATTTGGATATACTTGACTGCCTTCTCTTACCTGACTGTGATGGCTAAGACTTCCATTACTATGTTGAATAGCAGTGGAGAGACAGTGGGCATCTTTGCCTCGTTCCTTATCTGAGTGGAAATTTATTCAACTTTACACCATTCAATATGATATTGGCTGTGGGTTTGCTGTAGATTACCTCTATATAAGTTGAAGAGCTGTCCCTTCTATGCCTATTTTCTTAAATATTCTAATCATGAAAGGATGCTGGATATTATCAAAGGGTTTTTCTATGTCAATTGACAGAATCATATGGTCTTTGTTTTTTATTTTATTGATGTATTGTATTATATTTATAGATTTGTGTATGTTGAACCAACCCTGTAACCCTGGAATAAAGCCAACTTGATCATGGTGTATAAGTTTTTTGATGTGTTGTTGAATTCTATTTGCTAAGATCTGATTGATTATTTTTACATCGATATTCATTAATTATATTGGTGTATAATTTTCTTTCTTTGTTGGATCCTTTCCTGGTTGGGGATCAGGGTGATATTTGCTTCAAATAATGTGTTGAAGAGCATTTCATCTTTTTCTATGCTTTGGAAAAGGTTGTATAATATAGGTACTAGTTCTGCTTGAAAGGTTTGATAAAATTCAGATGTGAAGCCATATGGTCCCAGACTTTTCTTTTTTGGGAGATTTCATATTGTTGATGCTATTTTAGTGATTGATATAAGTCTATTCAAGATTTCTAATTCTTTCTGGCTGAGTCAAGGAAGGTGGCGTACTTTCAGTTATTGGTTCATTTCATTCAGATTTTCATATTTCTGGGAATAGAAATTTTTTTGTAGTAATCATTGAGTATTTTTTGAATTTCTGAGATATCTATTGTTATTTCTTCTGATAGACAATATTAAAGATTTTACTTTTCTATTTTCTATTTCTGGTTAGGGTGGCCAAAGGTTTATCAATTTTGTTAATCTTGAAAAAAACAATTTTTTTTTGTTTTGTTGATCTTCTGAATGATTCTTTTATTTTCAATTTCATTTAATTCTGTTCTAATTTTGGTTATTTATTTTCTTCTGCTGGGCTTGGTGTTGGAATATTCTTCCTTTTCCAGTTGCTTGAGATGAACCAGTAAGTTGTTGGCTTCCTCTTTTTCTGTTTTCTTAATAAGGGCTTCCAATGCTGTAAATTTCCCTCTTAGGACTCCCTTTGCAGTATCCCACAGGTTTGGATAATTTGTGTCTTCATTATCATTTTGTTCCAAAAAATTTGTTATTTCCTTGTTAATCTCATCTTTGACCCAGCTATCATTCACCCTAAGATTATTTAGTTTCCATGAATTTGTTTGGGCATGAGGATTCCTGTTGCTATTGAGTTCACCTTTTATTCCATGGTGGTCTGAGAAGATACAAAGAATAATTTCTATACTTTTAAATTTGCTGAGGTTAGACTTGTGTCCTAGGATATTATCTATTTTGGAGGATGACCTGTAGGCTGATGAGAAGAATGTATACTCGGTTTCATTTGGGTGAAATGTTCTGTAGAGGTCTGTAAAGTCCATTTGTTCTAGGGTCACGTTTAAGTCTAATATTTCTTTATTTAGCTTCTTCTTGAAGGATCTATCCAAAACTGTCAAAGGGATGTTGAATTCTCCCACTATTATAGTGCAGGAAGATAT